CTAATTCGGCGTAAGTCCGACAATTTATATACGAATCCAGTTTTTGTAACGTAACTCAATTTAGAAATTTCGCGTACACGAATCGATATCTTGACAGAGTAACAAGATGGGACTTTGTCGAATTGGAAGACGACTACTGCACTAGCGTTGTGACCCCGAAAAATTTTTTTTATTGCTTATATGGGTGGACGAGCTCACAGCCCACCTGGTGTTAAGTGGTTTCTGGAGCAGACAGACATCTACGACGTAAATGCGCCACCCACCTTGAAATATGTTATGAGGTCTCATAAGCTTACTCCATTAAAAAAATAACTGAAGAATATTTTTTTTGTTACGCTATTTTTTTTTTAAATCTTTAGTTAGCTCTGCTGTAAAGTCGCAAAAGTGTCGCTTAAGCCTAATAGCTTTTTGCCCCTTTATATGTCTTAAACGGAGGCACCAATATTTACTCTTGTCCTCTGTAACAATAATCAGTTATGTGGATACAGAGGCGGTAAATAATTTAATTTGATCCTTACAGAGAATACCGTGAAAATTGTAACGTGTTTCACGTGATTATCCTTGATTATATCAGACAAAAGGAACGAACGTAATGTAATAAGATAAAAAAAAACCTGTGGTGGTGTTATTGTAAGTATTTTGACGTAAGATAATATCTATGTAGTAGTAGTTCTATTTTTCCAACTGGAAAGGCAAAGGTATCATACCATACAGCCTAATCTTTTATAATTTTCTTATGAAAAATGATAATATGAAGTGAAATGAAATAAAGTTGATTAATTTGAAATATTAATCAGTTGACATGAAATTAATAAGATTATATGGGATGAAAATGAAATATAATCTCAGTAAAATGATGGTTACGAGACTTTTTCAGTGGACTTTTTGGAGGATCCCGAAAACTTACGTCCAACAGCTTTGTTCCAGTTTCCCACATTTGTGCACTCTCGCAGATACTAAACAGTTAATAAATCACCGTTAATACACATTTAAAACGTGAAGAAACACTAAATAGACAAGATAAAACAAATCACACAACTTCACTCCTCGCGTTCCCGCCCAAAAGTATATTAACAACTGTCATACCGGCGCATAGACAAACTACTCTTTTTTCTGCTTTTTTTAGTATGGCAATTGGTTCCTAGTACGGAGCTCTTAAAAAAATCTTCAAATATAATTTAATACATACATACTGCTTTCTGAAAAATAGAGCTAAATAAAATAAAGTTCTAAAGATCTAAAGATCTAATTGAAACTGGAATCCGTTGAAATCAAATTCATTGAAATAAAATGAAATGCGATGAGATGAGATGAAATGAAATGGTGGGAATTCACTGAGACTTCAGTGGGCTTTTGTAAGAATCCGTAAAAAGCACGAAATAACTCCTATTACTTAAATAATATTAATACGAACCTTTTTAATGTTGGAATCCTTAAAAGTTAGACAGACGCTCTTGCTCGCAACAATTTATCGAAAATAATAATTGACCTTGACAAACTCTAGTAAAACATATTTTCGTAGCCATATTAATTTAAGGTTTATTTAAATTTGCCCACGCATACCACAGGGGCTTTTCGATTGAAGATGAAATATCTTAACATCGAAGACTATTTCTTTTAACTTGTACTGTGTAATAGTGCTCTTTGAACTAAACAAAGGAGAATGTTAAATTAATTGTACAAAGGTACACTTACTCGCTTTCAAAATCAGCCGAGAGTTAACGTAAACCACAATAGTTGTGTGTTAATTAGCCTATATATAAATAGCACTATAGATAAATAACTTAGCCATTCCGACAGGAGCCCTCTTCTTCGATATAGCGAAGGCGTTCGACAAAGTCTGGCACAACGGTTTGATATACAAACTGTATAACATGGGAGTGCCAGACAGACTCGTGCTCATCATACGAGACTACTTGTCGAACCGTTCGTTCCGATATCGAGTCGAGGGAACGCGTTCCCGGCCCCGTCACGTCACAGCTAGAGTCCCGCAAGGCTCCGCCCTCTCCCCGTTACTATTTAGTTTGTATATCAATGATATACCCCGGTCTCCGGAGACCCATTTGGCGCTCTTCGCCGATGACACCGCCATCTACTACTCGTGTAGGAAGAAGGCGTTGCTTCATCGACGACTTCAGACCGCAGCTACCACCATGGGACAGTTGTTCCGGAAGTGGCGCATCGACATCAACCCCACGAAAAGCACAGCGGTGCTCTTCAAAAGGGGTCGCCCTCCGAACACCACCCTGAGCATCCCCCTCCCGACTAGGCGCGTCAACACCTCCGCCCCCGCCGTTCGCCCAATCACGATGTTCGACCAGCCCATACCGTGGGCCCCGAAGGTCAAATATTTAGGCGTCACCCTCGACAGTAGGATGACATTCCGCCCCCACATCAAGACGGTACGCGACCGTGCCGCCTTCATTCTAGGACGTCTCTATCCGATGATATGTAGGCGAAGTAAAATGTCCCTTAGAAATAAGGTGACACTCTACAAAACTTGCATACGCCCCGTCATG